CCCCCCCCCCCCCCCCCCCCGCAAAGCCACGGAGCCGCGAACACCTGGACAGACGCGCACAGCGCTCGTGGGTTCCCGCCTCACCTTCGTCCCTGTGCAGCAGACAGCACGCGGGCGTGAGACACAAGGCCAGCCACAGGAAGGCCATGGCGCTCGGGCTCCCGCGTCCCCGAGGGCGCGCACTGGAAGAGAAGGGACCCTCAGCGCGCGCCGTGCGGGGCGGCGAGCCCGGGGCACCGCGGGCGCAGGGCGCACGGAGGGAGGGAAGGCTCCAGCGGGTCTGCGTGGGCGCACCCCTGCGCGCGTCTCCTGCGTGTGCACGCGTGGGGCCAGCCCTGGCGGGGGGGGGTGTGTGCGCGCGTCCTCCGGCCGGCAGAGACCCCCCCACCCCATCCCCCGAGCCGAGCCCGGACGGAGCCCGCTCCTGGCTCCCGCCTGGTCCACTGGCCGGGAAACGCCGCGGGGCAGAGCGGGGGAAGGAAGTGCAATTAAGATACGAAGTCAACACACACCCGGGTTCCTGGGCCGACAGGGTTAGGGGAACTGGAGGCTGCCCGCCCCCCGACGCCCCAGCCGGGACTGCTGGCCACGGGGTCGCCAGGGTCGCCAGAAAGCCCGCGCGCCCACCTGGCCCCCCCGGGGCCCGCACCTGCGTGGCCGGGGCCTCCCGCTCCCCTACCGACGCCGCGCGCGCGCGCGCGCGCCCCATCCCGTCACGCGCGCCCTGGCGGCCGGCGCTCTGTGCCCCGCAGAGAGTCGCCCGCGAAACGTGCCACCCGGTTAACCCCCTCCGGAAAACCTCTGCCCGGATGGAAGAGCTGGGGCCGCCGACCCCGCCACCTGGGCTGGGCTTTCACAGCCCCCGTCACGGGACCCAACAGGGACCCCACCCAGGGGTTTCAGCTCGTCTCCCGAGCCTCTCTCTCTCTCTCTCTCTCTCTCTCTCTCTCTCTCTCTCGCAGTTCTCCCGTCTCAACGCCCGAGAGACCCCCTCCCAGAAGAGGGGGATGGTAGGAGCCACGATTGCCTCTGGGTTAGTAATAGAGGGATTGTAGTGGGTTTGTAATACAGGGATTGTAGCAGGTTAGTGATACAAGGATTGTAGTGGGTCTTTAATACGAGGATTATAGTTGGTTTGTAATACAGGGATTGTAGCGGGTCTGTAATACAGGGATTATAGTTGGTCTCTAATACAGGGATTGTAGCAGTTGTGTAATAGAGGGATTGTAGTGGATTTGTAATACAGGGATTATAGTGGGTCTGTAATACAGGGATTGTAGTGGGTCTGTAATACAGGGATTGTAGTGGGTCTGTAATACAGGGATTGTAGCAGGTTAGTGATACAGGGATTGTAGTGGGTCTTTAATACAGGGATTGTAGTGGGTTTGTAATACAGGGATTGTAGCAGGTTAGTGATACAGGGATTGTAGTGGGTCTTTAATACGGGGGATTATAGTTGGTTTGTAATACAGGGATAGTAGCGGGCCTGTAATACAGGGATTGTAGCAGGTTTGTAATACAGGGATTATAGTTGGTTTGTAATACAGGGATCGTAGTGGGTGTGTAATAGAGGGATTGTAGTGGGTTTGTAATACAGGGATCGTAGTGGGTCTGTAATACAGGGATGTAGCCCGTTAGTGACACAGGGATTAGGGTGAAGAGAGGAAGGCATCAGGCTCCGTGTGTAGCAGGGGACCCCCAACCCTATTCACCGTGAGCCAGACTTCAATGCGACGTTCACAAAACGTGGGTGTGGGAAACGCAGAGGACGGAACGATGGGGCTTTCGAACCCGTGGGCGCAAGGGCGACCTGGGGCTGAGGTTCCCGCGGACGTGGGGCGCTCCGGGCTGTGCCCAGTGGGACAGGCGATGCCCGCGGGAACGTGACTGCGCGGGGGTCGCGGGTGGCGCCCACGGGCCCCCCACAGGAGGGGCCAGCGCTGAGCGCCCCAGGGCGGGACCAGGGCCTCCCCACACACAGCCCGGCGTCCCCATCTCGTGACTCCGTGGCCCGCAGGACCTCAGTCACCACAGGGACACGCGGGCGTCCGTGGTGTTTCAAGTGGATCCATTCATTAATATTTTTCTGCAGGCGAATCCCCATCAAAATGCAAGCAGGGGGCCAAATGGCACAGTCACCACGTCTATGTGGCTCCAGAATGTTCCAGGCCCCCCCAAAGGAGACCCCGCCCCACGAGCTCTCATTCGGATGCCTGTCCCCAGAACTAAGAGAGAGAGAGAGAGAGAGACAGAGTGAGCAGGGGAGGCGCAGAGAGAGAGGGAGACGCACAATGGGAAGCAGGCTCCAGGCTCCGAGCTGTCCGAGCAGAGCCTGATGCAGGGGTTGAACCCACGAACTGGGAGATCATGACCTGAGCCCAAGTCGGACGCTCAACCGACTGAGCCTCCCGGGCGCCCCTGTTGTGCACAATTTTTATCAACGGGATGGCACACCGTAGGGTCTCGTGGGCCTGCTTCTGTCCCTGAGGATGGAGTGCTGAGGTCTATGCAGCGGTCACAGCTTTGCTGCTTTTCGTGGCCCAGTAGTGTTCCCCTGTGTGGACGGACCACACTCTGCACGCGTTGCCCCTTGGGGAGGGATTCGTGCGTAACAATCCCTCCAGGGCGCGTGGAGTCCCCCTCCGGGGGGGGGGGGACGCCCAGGAACCTGGGATCCGAGCCCCCAGGCCCTCCCGGCTGGGCTGGGCTGCACGCGGGGACCAAGCCACCCCCAGTGGCGCAAGTGAATTCTAGCACATTCCCCAGTGGACGTGACAGCCGCTCGCGCGGTGTCCAGCATCCTTACCTGCGCTCGCAGACCCGCCGCCTGCCTGGGGTCCCTCCTGCAGCCTGCGCTCGCGATGTTCTCCGGGACGCGGAGAAAGTGCGCGAGCGGGAGGCGGCAGCCGGGCCTGGGGGCCCCCCACCCCCACCCCCCGGACCGCGGGCTCCTCACTCGTCACTCCTTCCTCGCCTCGGAGGAAGTGTCCCCAAATAGAAACCAAAGCCCAAAGCTGGCTGTCGCTTGCCTCTCGGGGACTTTATAGTCCCCGCCAGGGGCCCCACCCCAGAGGCCAGACCCGGGCACGGTGGGCGTGGTCGGGGCCTGCCCGAGGACCCCCTCCCTCCGACGGCGCGGCCCGCTCTGTGCCTGTGTCTCTGCCTTAAAACCCGGGGACAGCCGCTGCGTCAGGAATGTGTCAGCCGCTTTCCTAGGAACGAACCTCTTTCTTTCAAAACTGCTGTTTTCCTGTTTTCCTTCCTCTTTGTGACAATCCTAATTGCTCCTAAGCGTCCAGGCCGGCGGGGGCAGCTTCCTGTGCGGCTTCTGGATGGCCGGGCCAGTGGCTTCTGGCCGGCTTCCCTGCAGGTCCCGCTGGAAACTCCCTCGTGCCCTCTGACACCGTCCCTGTTCGGGCTCCGGGTCCCCTGGTCAGGTCGCTGCCCGGGGCTTATGGGGTCAACCGCACCCTCCGGACGGCAAACGGACCCCAGCTGCCTGTGCAGCTGGGATGGAGATGGCCCCGGGCCCAGCGGCGCCTGGACTGAGCCCGTCCAGCCCCTTCCCTTCACCCCGCTCACCGCCATGACAACATGCGGCCTTCGCCAGGCTCAGGACCCTGTGACGCGGGAGGGGTCACCAGAAGTCAGTCTGACGCCCCTGCAGGGACCGTGCACTGAAAAGGGGTCTGTTCTAAGTAAGTGAAGGATCTGGGAGGCGCCCATCTTGGATGAGGGTGAATCCAATGACAGGTGTCTTTACAAGAGACAAAAGAGGGGAGACAGAGACACAGAGGAGAAGCCCCGTGAAGACAGAGGCACAGACCGGAGGGACGCAGCCACAGGCCCAGGGACGCGTGGAGCCCCGGAGGCTGGAAGAGGCAGGAAGGGCCCTCCCCTTGGAGCCTCTGGAGGGAGCACAACCCTCCCCTGCCTGGGTCTCAGTGGCCCTCCCCTGCCTAGATCTCAGTGGCCCTGCCCCTCCTGGATCTCAGGGGTCCTGCCCTGCCTGGAACTCAGCGGCCCTGCCCTGCCTGGATGTCAGCGGCCCTGCCCTGCCTGGATGTCAGCGGCTCTTCCCCGCCTGGATCTCCGTGGTCCTGTCCCTCCTGGATCTCAGCATCTCGGACCTGCCTGGATCTCAGCAGCCCTCTCCCCACTCCTGCATCTCAGTGGTCCCGCCTGGATCTTAGACTTCATCTCCACAAGATCCCAGGGCCGGGGGGCAGAGAGTGGCCGGGGAAGGCCAGGGTGGGGACAGGGGAGCAGAGCGGTCCCAGGAAAGAGGGAGCGCCTCCGTCGTCGGCAGAAGGGGACATGTCGAGGGCTCCGGGGGCAGGTCGTCCCCCTGCGACAATGCACAGCTCCTGGGGGCTCTGTGACGAGGAGAGTGTGGCCAGAACCAGGAAAGTGACTCACAACCACCTGCGGGGTGGCTCCCCTCCTGGAGATGAGTTTTCCGCCCGCTTCTCTCTTTCCTCCGGCACCCTCCCCCCTGCGCACGTGTCCCCTGTCACCCGGGAGAAAACCGGAGGGTCCGAGCCCCGGCCACTGACCCCGGCTGCTGGCTCACCTGTCCTGTCCCCCAGGCTGTCACGTGCCCAGACAACCAGATTTCAGAAAGTGGAACGTCAAGGCAAGGCAAGCCCCCGGGGGGGGGGGGAGGGGGGAGGGTCTCCAGTGGGAGGGCTTTTGTCCTGAGGGTGACGGGGGGGCACCCCAACCAGGACAGGGTGTGCACGTCTCGATGGTAGAGGAAAAGGGGACAGAAACGGGGAAGAGAAAGTGGGGAGACGGTGGGTGAGGCAGGAGGCACAGCTGGCACTGGAGAGACCCAGATAGACCTTCTCCGCCCAGCCTGGTCCCCTTGTGCACACGGACCCTGAAGCTCCAGCCCCAGAAGAGACCTTCTCCGTGAGCCCAGCCGGGTCCCCTGTGCACACGGCCCTGCACACCTTGGCCCCAGAATACACCTTCTGCATGAGCCCAACTAGGTCCCCTGTGCACACGACCCACGCACACTCCAGCCCCAGAATAAACCTCC